AGGAGAGAGTCACACACTCAGGCTGGGTCCAACTCAAGTTTATTGTTTGCAAACAAGTTCGACAGAGGAGCTCAGTTGCTCAAAGCAAAGTCGACCCCGGGCCGTGCCCGAAGTTCCATTTTTATAGCTAACAAACAGAGGGTTTCAGCGTGTCGCGCTATTATTGCCAGCCTTACAATTTCCTTATTGTTACGCCCTGCCTTGCAGGTCGAGCTCAACTTGTTATTGGTTGTTGTTCCCAACAAGTTTAGCACATGCGTAGTCAAAAAGCAGAAGTGCGGCAAAACTAATGCCCCTTAATAACCTTTTATCTTAAGTATGGTTGCAAAATCTATTTGCAAAGCAAGCCTTAATCTATATGCAGAAGCTATTGCAAAACATGTTGAACAAAAAAGCGATTGCAAAGGCATGGTGGCCGAATTATAACGTATTTTTACCACAATTCCCCCCCTCAAGATGCCTTCTAACTCTAATTTTTAATAATTGTCAGCGATGGCTAGCTTTTGATAATGCACAAGCATTTCTCGGTTGATGACTGACTGTATTGTCTGTCTCACGAGGGCTATGAGACAGGGTAAAATACAGGGGAGCAAGCAAAGCATTGATATTAGCAGGCACAAGACGAGAAAAACTCCTTTTAACCATCCAAAATTGGGGAGCCAGGATGTAAACCAATCAAAATTCCACCCATTCCATGTTTGGACGGGGACATGTGCGACCTTTTCTTCCATGTCATCCGCTAAGGTCTTTATCAATTCACCATTATCATTGATTTTAACACAACAGTTGGACAAATTTAACTTTCTGCACACCCCTCCTTCACTAGCAAGTAAATAGTCAAGAGCTAAGCGGTTTTGCAGTACTGTAGTACGTAGCTGGGTGAGTTGGTTGACAATCAGATGCAGGGCTGCGGCAGTTTTATTGGTAACAATTTCTACTACGGCCTGGAGCCTAATAATTCGATTTGTCAAATATGTGGGCTCTCTCCCAACCACGTTTGGCTCTCAAGTTGCTGGACCATAGTACTGAATGATTCTCTCTGTTGGCCATTTGTCATTACCCCATCGTTGGCCTCCTCCTGCGGCTATCTTCTCAAAGGAGCTATCAGTGCTGTGTCTGACGTGATTAGTGTTGGGTTGTGTTGTCCAAACACTAGGAGTTGTGGGCTGTGTTATCCAAACACGGGGAATCAAAGCTCCTAAATAACAAGTCCCAGCCCAACTGGCGGGAAGCTGTCTATATGCCCATCTCCCACAAATCCACCATAGCCCACAGGCTTCATTTGTGATGGTGGAACGAGAGCTCATTAAAGTTAGAGGTAGTGAGCTTCTTTTCGTTAAACTCCCACTCACCTTGCTACCATTTCGATAGTGGGTATAATTAATGCCCCAAACTGAAATCCACTCCTTACCCAATAGGCAGCTACAATTGTCAAACTTGTTATATGAGACATTTGCGCATGTCCATGCACCCTCCCAGGGGGCGATTTCCTCAGAAATCCATGTTTCCTTGCACCTTGACTGACCCACTCTAAATCCACCTCCAAGTTGGGAAATGCAGATAGATCCAGTAACTTTTGCCACCATAACTCTCCCAGAACCATTATATTGCAAAGAGAAATTCCGGTTAAAACCCCAATCTGAGACTATACCAGTCCTATTGAGGGGGATAGGCAAGAAAGGGACTCCCTCATCACTAGAAACAGGAGTAAGCGCACATAAAAGACAACTCTGGCTAGTTAGCGCCCGGCCTTAGTCCTTGAGAAGGGTTACCCAGGAATTTCCTACCCATGGGTCCGGAGGTAGGCTTTTAGGTTCCCCAACAGGTTTTGGTTTTCTGACAGTTTTATTCATGACGTAATGGTAATCCCCTATGCGGATTCCCTGAGGCTTAACCTTGAAGGGAGGATTTGAAGGCCAATCTTTGAGGATTGCAAACCAGAGTTCTGGTTCTGGCTCTATGCACACCGGTGTTGGACCAGCACGGAGTGCATATGTTATTATAATTTCTCGACTCAAGCAGCATTGGGAGAGGGTATGCATAGAGGCATTGATTATAGTAGACTTTGAAGTTTTGTAGCTAGCCTTACTGAGGGGTTTAAGCTTTATGTCTAAGGGACATTTACAACAGTCTGGGTGATATACTCCTGGGTTTGATATACCTAAAAGGGACAAGAGCTCCAACAAATAGATTCGGGCCCACATCTTTGCAAGCATAACTTTAAATCTCCAGCAGGTTCACTTTTCCATTTGTCGGCTTTTTGTTCCTGGGTGTTGTCAGCTTCCGGAGTGACCACACCCTGGGAGTTGGTGTCCTCCTGATGAAAAGGCTTTACCCTTGAGCAATGGGTCCACTTATTGCTGTTTGATAAGTGAACAGCTGTGTGTGTAGTCAGTAGCACCTGATAGGGTCCCTCCCACCTTTCCACGAGGGGATTCTTTCTCCACTTCTGTACCAGGACCTGGTCACCCGGTTTAAAGTTGTGGATCGGTGCATCAAGCGGGAGGCTCTGGAAGGGTGTAGCAAACCTGTGTAGGGAAGACAAAACAGACTGCAAGGCGATAACGTGTTCCCAAATTTCAGATTCTGCCCAATTCTACAGTAACCGGCTCCCTCCATCCTGCTGGCA